TTGAATCTGTTCAACTCAATGCAGCTCGGATATGTACTGGCGCAATGAGAGGAACAAATAGTAATAGCATCTTGTCTGAGGTTGGCTGGGAAACCATGTCATGTAGGCGTCAAAAGCATAAACTTGTAAACTTTTATAAAATTATCAAAGAATTAGCACCAAAATACTTACAGGAATTGGTACCACTACAAACCGGTGACTCCACCCCCTACAGTCTCCGTACCGATCAGAATTACGTCTTAATTCCTGCTAGAACTGAGAAATTCAAAAGATCTTTTCTACCTACTTCCATTGTTTCCTGGAATAACTTGCCATTAACTACACGAGCATCAACATCAATTGCCATCTTTAAAAAAGAGTTGGAGACGTTTTATCACAGCCCTCACACTCAACCTCACTTCTCCCACGGTCCGAGAAACCCAGCTATCCACCTTACCAGACTCAGACTCAACCGCAGTCAGTTAAACTTTCACCTGTTCCAACATCAATGTGTGCCCAGTCCTGCGTGCAAATGTGGTCACTTCAACGAAACAGCTGTACACTACTTCCTACACTGCCCACTGTACACTGACGAACGCATTGACATGTTATCATCTCTAACTAACATTCTGCCATTTGACACAAACAACGTCACCGACAACACTTTATGTTCAACCATTCTCGACGGGGTAACCCCTCCATTGTCGTTTGTCAACAACTGTAACATATTTGATGTGGTTTTCAACTTTATTTTGCAGACAGGACGTTTTGTTTGATTTAGTTGATTCATTTTGATTTGTACACCAGCCTACTATGTACCCTTGTCATTTCTTATTATTATTATTACTTTGTTTTATTGTATCCTTTTATGTGTGAGGAGAGGGCTGAGATAAGTTTTATAACTTTTTGCCTCATCCTCGGAAAATAAATGTGAATAAAATAAAATAAAAACAGATGTCAAACACCATATCAGCGGCTAAACAGCTGTCAAACACCATCTCAGCGGCTAAACAGATGTCAAACACCATCTCAGCGGCTAAACAGCTGTCAAACACCATCTCAGCGGCTAAACAGATGTCAAACACCATATCAGTGGCTAAACAGCTGTCAAACACCATCTCAGCGGCTAAACAGATGTCAAACACCATATCAGTGGCTAAACAGCTGTCAAACACCATCTCAGCGGCTAAACAGCTGTCAAATACCATCTCAGCGGCTAAACAGATGTCAAACACCATATCAGTGGCTAAACAGCTGTCAAACACCATCTCAGCGGCTAAACAGATGTCAAACACCATATCAGTGGCTAAACAGATGTCAAACACCATCTCAGCGGCTAAACAGATGTCAAACACCATATCAGTGGCTAAACAGCTGTCAAACACCTACCATGTCAGATGCTAGAATGCTGTCGAACACCATCGTTGTGGCTAAACAAGAATTCGGAGATTTCATACCTCCATGAAATATGTAGAGATTGTGTTTTGGGGGGATTTGTCTCATTCAAAAATAAAATCATAATTACTATAATTTAGTTAAATTTATGGTTTTCTAGACTCAAATTATAACATTCTACTTGTGAAATTCCTATCTTTTGGCAATAATTCAAGTCACCATGTCCTCATTAATTATGCACCTGACCACTATAGTAACAAAATATATGCATATTAATGTTAAATTTTTAAGTAACTTACACATGTCACAAGGTATAAAATTCCCATCAATCATCATGAAGAAATCACAGAATTTTCAAGTTGATTATGCAATTTTGGTCATTATTGTATATATTATATTATATTTATCACTGTTTTATATCTATAATAAACGCCACAGTACATTCTCAGTAACAGAAACATTACACATAATTCCATGTACAAAGGCCTAAAGTGTAACGCCTATATCATGGGCAAAGTAAGGTTTCAAGATATACAGACATGTGTATTGACCAGAGATGACGTCACATCTTGGACACGCTATTATAACAAGTCATGAAGCTGCTGTCCTGCGCGGTGGTGTGAAAACAGCATTTCATTTCATTTTCATTTATTTTATTTAACCAGAGTAATACACTCAGGTCTAACTGACCTGGTTTTCAGGTATCCCTGGGGTTACATAGTATTACATACAATACACAATATACATAGGAAAATAAGAATACACAATAAGAATATACATTACAGTTTCAATTCAACATGCATACCAATCATAAAAACATGTACCACTCAAGTCCCACTCACAGGAAGTCTTTGAAAGATGTTCAAGTTGAGAGCTGTCTTTGCTCCCTGGAAAGTTGATTCCACAGAACCGGGCCCTGGTACTGCAGAGACCCTTTAAAAGATGTGATGTTTGCCTGTGGAACTTTCAGCATGTGAGGATCCCAGTTCTCTAGTCGGCTTACAGCCGACCGTGTTCGTCTATTCAGCATAGGTGGGGACATCCATGTACACATGTGAGATAAGTATGGTGGCATTTTGTTATGGATTTGTTATGCGAATCTCGAGAATCTTTACACACAAACTCAATAGAAGTATCAGAGTTTACACTCAGCTGCTCAGAAACACTCCCGACCGTATTCAGACCGCGGTGGTTTTGATCTGCACACACCGTTAAAGCCCCTGTGGTGGATTCTTCACCGTGTTCGGAGTGTGGCTCTCCTGAGTGAATTGAGGATACCGAACCGCACCTCAGATCATCTCCCAGTCACAGTAGGCGTGCCACAAGGTTCCATACTGGGGCCGTTGTTGTTTATATTATTTATAATAGTCACTGAAGGAGAATATTCGTAGTTATTCAATTTTCAATTCGATGATATTAATGGAAAAGAAGCTACTAGGGGCCAGACGATTCAACGTTTTAAATAATAGCATCTTGATCTTGGAACTTCTTGGTTTCTTGATATCGGGATAACTGACGAATATATACACACACAGTGTTTGTTTTCATCTGTTCTACGAAGCCATTAGAATGAGTTTTTAATATTTTTTTTCCTGAAGAATGCATAATCATGTAGATCGTTCTGTTTAAAGGGAGTAATTTAGAGACTGATTTCTTATTTTGTTCACTTTTATCTTTTTTGGACTGGTGATGGTTCATATAATTTTGATGCAATGATGCTATTATTTAAAACATTGACTCGTCTGGCCCCTAGTAGCTTCTATTCCATTACTATCATCTGATAAATTTGAAAATTTAATAACTACGAATATTCTCCTTCAGTGACTATTTTAGCTTCATACATTAGAAATGATAATGCACGGATTGTATACAAACTTAACATCATTTTAATCTAATGAGGGAGCATTGGCCTTAGATGTTACCAAATTTAACGAGCTGTTTCGATCTTGCTTCCTCCTTGTTTGGCGAAATCTGAACTCTACTATGCTTAAGTGATAAACATACCATATAAAGCATAACTATCAAAATATTCTCTTAGCATGATACGGTACGGTTGGGTTTTAAAATGATTACATAAGAAATTTGGCAGACAGCAAGCATAGTTCAAGGCCTGTATATATTGGACGTCAAGGCGACTGCCTTTCCATGTTCCTCCTTTCCCTGCAATGCAAATGGTTGAAATCAATCAACTGTATGAGAGCAGGTATCTCCATGGCACAAGCTTTAGTAATATTATAGATTTCTCGCGCATACTGACTGCCCTCAGGTCTTATATTGATTGAATCGTTCCTGTACCTTTTTCTCCTTCGCCTCCTGCTAAAATGCGTCAACATTTCTGTAAATAACAGCCGCAACACAGACAAACAATAGATCCTAAAGGGTTTCGGGATGGCTGCTAATGTAATGATAACCTCTTATCAATTTCCAATTTCGCCTTGGATAAACAATCCTCGCATTGCAGGCGAGAGATAGCGTCCTGCACTCACTCTCAGGCGCAGACATCGACACAAGAATTAATTTAAACGAGACAATTCCGGCGTTTTGTGTCGGGCAACTTTATCGATTTCTCGATGAGCTCCGGTCACGACGTCCAGCGTCTTTTAAAAGGAAATCATTTGCATAATTTTCCTCCGCGGGGCAAAATTCCAACGTTAGGAATGTTTTTCTTAGTCTACGGTGCAAAATATAATATTCAATGATATATATACCGACATACATGATATGGCCGTTTGGACCATACATAGCTAACATGGTGGAAAACCTGTTCAAGATCCCTTAACACCCACCGCCACCCACCAGTCAACTGGAAGACTGAATCGCCCTATTACGCTAACAAGTCATCTAATCATTCTCCAGGCGTGCAGACGTTGATGTTGTGATGAATGGATTGTGATTATCATTACCCCCCCCCTGCCCACCCGCGCAGGAAGAAAAATTGCCCATCTACAGGGTGGTGCCGGGAGAGGAAAATGGCTGCGTATTTATTTTACGCAACAGATGTACGCGTATGTGATTGGTCAAATCCCTGTGGGCTCCCCCCTTCATCAACATAAAATGATCATATATATTGGGCGGACGCCGGATGCATGTTATCATTCAACGTTTGTTGTATGCTAATTCTAAGGGCGCGAGGGCACAAAGAGCACTATGAACGCGGCTTGGCGTTAAGTACCCACAGCTTCAGCGGGACGTGTCTACGCTTTTAACAGGAGAATCTCACGGAGCTGCTGGGTAACCAACGGGAGGCTGCCGCCGCACTCCGCGCTCTGGTGATTGAGGCAGCTGGGGTTACCCGGCGTTCATCTGCACCAGGTAATAACAAGACTTTCTCCCGCGCTGAAGTCCCCCCGCCGCTCAGACGGCTTTAACGACGTTCTGCCGTCTCATTCGCGCCGCCAACTTATCCTCTATTTTCCCGTCCGTCAAATACATGATGGGACACGCCAACTCCTACCACCTTCTCTTGTGTTTCTTTATTTCTCTGACTTTCGTTACGGCTCAAAATCCCACCGTCGAGCTGAAGTCTGGAGCCGTGATGATGGGCAAACGTATCACGCTGAACAAGGCGGACAATGACTTGGTTTCTGTTGACCAGTACCTCGGCATTCGCTACGCGGAGGCACCGCTCGGGGCTTCCCGGTTTAGAATGGTTTCTGTCCAAGACCCAAAATGGAGCGGCACCCAGAACTATACGGCCTTCGGCGCGGCGTGCATGCAGCCTGTCCGGACCACCAGCACAAACATGCCGGCCTGGACCCGCCAGGAGATCCTGACCATGCAGACTTACGTGCAGACTCGCAGCGAAGACTGTTTGTTTCTGAACATCTACTCCCCTGTTAGCAGAGGTAGGTGATGGTCACATGGATATTCTAGTAACGTCAACAGATATGTGAAAACTTAGCAAGATACAGGGCTCGAAATACTGGGTGCATATGCACCTTTATGTACAAAAATTGAAGCTTTGCTGCTAAATTTCGAACGTGCTCCTCAATTGTAAACGTTTTCGTGCAAATAGACATTTGTATAGGGTTTCAAACTGTCATACGCTAGTATACAGAATATAATCTTGACATTTACGTGTCAGACAAATAATAAAACCTTTATTGTATTGCTGACATTCTGCCTACTAGATTTTCCGCATCCAGATTTTTTCAGTGCACCTACATTTTAGGACACCATTTCCCAAAGAAGAATTTCGAGCCGAGAAATATATTTAAAACGATGTTATTAGGATCGTAAATTTGTTTTCATTGGGTACCGAAAACGAGAAATTCTTGTTATGGACGTTCCTGTATTCAGATTCTAGGCACTACTGTACTATACCAAATGGCAGGTTAGGGTTGTCAGTCTACTCAGTCTGAAAGCTCCACTATGGCTTATAGACTGCTTCAATGGGCACGGTGTGTTCAGTACTTTCAGTACTATTGTGGCATCTCCAATGCTGAGGCTTTAGATTGATCAGTGGATAATTGCAGATTTGACGCTTTAGCGATTTGTTTTTATTGCTAGCGCGTCTATGGAACTCAGTCAAGGGAATGTTTTAATTAAGGCAGTTAATATCGATGCAGCCATGGACAGAACGACTGCCGCTTACTAGCTTCGCCACCGTACCGGTCTGGTCTGATTATTATATCAATAGGTAATTGAGTAGAATGTGAGCTGTCAAATACGTAGACGGTTGCTAATGTCTGTCTGTCTAGTCCGTCAACCAACCCGCGGATAATAGTATTGAAAATATATCTTCTGGACTGTTCTGAAATATATATGAAATGAAATACCTTTATTGTACATTCATCCCACGACGGGCTAGGTACAGGTCAAGATATTACAGACACATAATAAACATATATAGAAAATTGGAGACAAAAAATACACTACTTGACTTATACATAAGGAGCATACAAGGGTACTATACTAGGCTAATACAAAGTATTCTAGTCACTGAGCTAATATAGAGAGGTCAACTTCTTCTCGTTTTTCTGTACAGTGGAAAATGCGGGATACGGGGTTTGTCTAGACGCATCAAAAATATAAATTTATCATTTACACTTAGGTGTTCATAGTATAGGGTCTTCTCTTTGATATGATTAAAGAGGACAGATCTTTCATTAGAATATAAAGATATAATGGTAGTGACTTCCAGACGATACAACATGGTGATTGAGCCGAGCAGGACATCCGTATTGCAGACGTCTTTCTGCATACATACAGGGGCCCTGGCGCCTCCAAGGGTTACCTCAAGTGTTTGGACACAACACAGTCAACCCGCGGCTAATCATGCCAACCATGGGTATCTTATTTTAGTCAACATCTTCAATGGTAGTTATTCATTTATTTATCTGATTTCACAGCTTTAAAAGAAACAGGAAATCCGTGAGGAGCCGACTACGGAGACATTGTTTCTCCACCAGGCAGGCTCCTTATGAACCATAGCATGTACAATAGATGGAAATGAACAAAAAAAACTAAAATGTAACTAATGCTACCGATAAATACTAACTCAATGAACAAGTGATGAAGAAATTACAAATTACATACACACACACACACACACACACACACACACACACACACACATCAGAAGTTAGGAGCCATGACGTACTGCTGAGAGTTTGAACAGACCTCCCTACAGCACCCTGCTACTCCTACATATGAAGACAGTGCGCCGAAACTGGTGAAATTATCTTGTTTTCTTACTGGAAAAACATCATGGATGTTAACTCCATATTTTGCTACCGTTTTCATTTGTGATTCTATTAGAGTATCGTTTTCACTGACACACACAAGGACACCGATAACACACAAACACACACACAGGACACACACACACACTCAAAACACACACACACACGCATGCACACACATAGACTCACACACACACACACACAGACACACACACACACAAATGAAGGTGTCACAGCTTCATATCCCGTCACAAAGCCATCTTAGTTTTGAACCTTCTGGAAACTCGGTTGCAAAGTGTAATTGAAAATGTATGGGCAGGTTTACGTATGGAAACTGAGCAGAGTTACTGAGTTGCTCAGGTTCCACACCAAAACATAAATAGGGTCGTGATTTTTTTCACTGTTAGCAATTCATGAACGGCTGTGATCCCCGCCCTGGTCTCCGTGTGGCGGCCTGGAACTGAGGGTCAGACGTGACTACGACATAGTTCAGCATCGTCTGTAAATCACAGGAATAGACTAAAGCAAGCAAAGGCGCTCCGTACTCTGACATCCGTCTTTAATTTTTTTGCACCAAAAATTAAAATGTTTGTCGTCGACCCAATAAACTAACAGGAATTTGGAGATTTCATACCTCCATAAATATGTAGATTTTCTGTAAAATTATTATAGGGGGGATTTGTCTTATTGAATATGGGAGTAAGATCGTAATTAACATAATGTAGTTTAATTTCTGGTTTTCTAAACTTAAATTACAATATTTTGCGTGTGGAATTCCTATCCTTTGGCAATATTACATTGAAACGTCCTCATTAATTATGCAAATTACCTCTACATAAACTTAATGTATGCAATGTAGTCATGTTAACCTTTAAGTAACTTGCACATGTTACGAGGTATTAGGAAATTTCAAAATTACAAAATTTTAATTACACATTAATTATACAATTAGGTCATTATTTGCATAATTGGTATCTTTTGATGTTTTACCTGCCATATATTGCATACATCACGTGTACTATCATATAAAACACTGTAATTACAGAATTTCCCACTTAATTATGCAAATTCAGTCTTCATTTGCGTAGTGTGCATTTAATTATGTACATCTCTCTATAATCTACCTACACACCGAAAATTATGAAACTACATTGTTCCTTTCTTGACTGATCCGCTTTGAAAATTTTAACCAGAAACACCCCTGCAGTTCCAGAACAAGCTGCTAGGGGAACAAAACTCACACCACTTATTTCTGATAGAAGAAGCTATCTGTCACCGAAAATCCAAGTCCATAGCATGTTCAGGACAAACGGTACAAAAACCGGAAGTTCTGCTGCAGTACCAAGGTCAGCAACCAGTAGGCCCATATTTGACCTTGACATTTGTCTTCCTAATATCTACCAACATACCAAGTTAGGCAGACTACAAATGTGCGGAAACACAAACATGCAGACACACACACACACACACACACACGCCAAAAACAATACCTCCATTTTTCATGGGGGTAATAAATAAACGAGGAAAATATGAGATTTTATACCTCCGGGTTGTTTATTGTATTTTTATATGTTGTTTATATTTTTACTTCCATGAAAAATGAAGGAATTGTTTTGGCGTGTCTGTGTGTGTGTGTGTGTGTCTGTCTGTCTGTCTGTGTGTCTGTGTGTCTTTCTGTCTGTGTGTCTTTCTGTCTGTGTGTTTGTGTTTCCGCACATTTGTAGTCCATGAATGAGTATGGTTGCCTCAGCTTACTTTGTGAAGAAATGACCAGAAAATTTCCTTTCTGTATCATCCTTATCTTACATAATGCAGCTGTAAATGCAGGTATTCATGATGCACACTCGCTGCACTGAAGAATTTACAACTACGTCCTTCCATCATTGTCCACGCAGGACCCGGGGAATGATTGATGATGGGCCGGAGTTAGCCGTACACGACATGTGCCGCTTTCTAGTACTGAATATAAAAGAGAATTATCAATAGTAGGTAGGATTATCAATAATAAGTGGTTAATAGACACACGATACAAAAATACAGGGCCGACTATAATGCTTTGTTTTAGCATTGTGTTATAACTGATTGAGACAATATGTTGCTACTCTAATATAATCCTATATCTAGATACAATTTCTTGTTGCTTGGCTTGTGATGTCTGGTACCATGTACAGATGTTGTGATATGATGCACTGCTAAAAGGTGAACCGCAATCGTGTATGAGTCGAATGACGTATCGTTTTGTATGAACATGATGGTAGCTTGTGGTAGATTCTGTTAACTGTTGACAAAAAGGGATGTTAATCAGAGTCCCATATAGTTCTTTAAAGATTGCAGTATCCCCTCTCTGCCTCAAAGTGAGTATGCCACTAGTGACAATGAAATAAAACAGAACACAAAGCCGTTTGTAAAAATATACACTCTAAATGCCCTTGGGTGATATAGAACCTTATTCATACATACTTCCACAACGTCCAGACTTATTTTTTCACTTAGAAGCACCATTTTTGTGCTCAAAACACACAAAGAATCCAGGTGCAACACCATGAATGTAGACCATTGTATCGAATGTTAATTCACATGAATATTGTGTTTTAGTACCTAAAAAGACGCAGAGTGAACGTGTAAAGACCAAGAAAGCAAATACACGGTAAATACAGTCAGGATATTCTGCTCATAGATAGAGACATTTGGAGCATGCACGTTTTGATGGGAGAGGTAGGTGCTCCTATAAAACATTTTTAGGTACGCAACATAGATTTTGGAAGCGGGGCTGTTTTACGTCTTAATCTCTGTATTCAGGGAAAAATAATGAAACCGTTCTTTTGAGAAGCGAACAGTGATTACATAAAATCTCAATTCAATATGATGTCTACTTTTTGTGCTTCCTACTATTTTATGACTTGCGACTTTAGTTTCAGATAAACTGCCCATTGTGACGTCATTGGTGGAATTACTGCCGGAATAACAATAGTCAATACTGCATGAATGAAGAACTCGCGTTCCTGGAAGAATATAATTATATTTGTAAGGATTGATGATCTCTATGGCATCAGTAGAGTGTGTATTTATCCAAACGTCCCTTGTCCATTGAATAATGCTTATCATAATTTCATTTCAATGCATACTTAAATGTTACCAGAAACTATTGCATTTCAGTACCA